TGGGGTTGTAGGTGTTTCAGAGGAGTTGGAGGCTGTAAAGCGGCGGCGCGCACCGATTTCCCGTTGCCTCGCAGACGTCGAGGCAGAACGAGGTGCCAGGGGTTTGCTTTTCGGTTTATTTCTCTGCAGTCCTACAAGTGGTGTGACGTAGTGGAAATTTGCGGTATGGTGAGGAAGGTGGGACTAATTTCCTGAGGCTGTGAATGGGTGGGAGGAGGGAGCGGAGCCGAGCTGCAGAGCTTGCCTGGGTGCAGGTGCTCGGCCGGGGCCGGTGGGCATCAGCGTGTTACGCAGGGCTGCGTGCCCCGGGGTGGGGACAGGGTGCCAGAGGCAAAAACCCAAATGCAGACAGGTTGTATCACAGCAGCCCCTTGGTTCATGCCACTGTGTGCCTCATGACATCGACTTGAATTAAAAATAACTTGACCAGAAAGGGTTATTTTTAATCCAGATATGTTTAGTATGAGCTGTGCAGGCGTGTACGCAGGGCCGGATGGGGATGGGGATGGGGATGGGGATGGGGATGGGGATGCAGAGCAGTGAGGTCCAAGGCAGTGGGGCTGCTTCAGCTGCTGTTGTCACTGAAAGAAATGGTCTTTCATGGCCCAAGATGAGATCCTGATGGACGATGGGTATCCCATGTAAAGGTGCAGTTCTTCTTCCTGAGCTGATGGAAGTCTGCTCTGCTGGCAAAGGGCCTCCTGCTGCACAAGTGCTGGTGGTGACACGGGGGACGGTAAGGGACAACCTGGCTGGGGACACAGGCAGGAGAGGAGAGAGTGGGGCCATCCCTTCTGGCAACAGCAGGGATTTAGATTGTATCAGGAGTGGAATAGTTACCCCATCAAAAGCCTTCAAAGCAAGAGTTCTAATTAGAGTGAAGATGGAAAGAGAAATCACAGGCCATAGACCTGTAGTTAACTAAAGAGTGCTGGTATTGCTGGTATATGTGAAACCCATCGTAAGGGCTGGAAGTGGCCAGGAGACGTTTGTGAGTCATTTCACTGATCCGTGGAGAACAAGAAATCCAGATTACTAATGCGTCTGGTTAGTCATGACTGGAGTCAAAACTCTTGCAGCGGGTAAGGCCGAGGCAGCCAACTCAGTAGCCGTGTTTGCCATAGGTCCTGATGCAGCAGCTGAAGGTTATGCAATTAGATACAGAACACTCGGATTCCAGAAAGCCCGTTGGTGTAGTGCCGTGCATAAACATAAAGAAAACATAGTGCTTCCCATTTAAGTAAAGATGTCATGGTTTAGAAACTGGTTTTCCAGCAGGCAATGGTTGTTAACAGAAGAACAGTGTTAGGCCAGGTTTTGGAGAAGGTACTATCTACACCTGCGTTGTTTTGTACAAAGAAAGGGATATTTGGTAGAACCTTGACGAAGGTGTACGTTGAGTGGGGTCAGGTGTGCTGGGGCACCTGCCTGGAGGCTGCGGAGAGCCAAGCTGAGGGACAGGGAGCTCCGGGAGATCCCGAGAGCTGGCTCAGTGGATGTCTCGTAGTCAGGGAGCAGGACACGAGTGGAGCAGAACTAAGCCTGCACAACAAGTGGAGAACCTCAGGTGGTGAGGGAGAACATCTCGCGATAGCTTCCAGTAAACAAGTGCAATTATTTGGTGCAGTTGCTAAGAAAGCCGTTCCAACTGGTTTATGTATAAAACATAAAAGTTAGTGTCAAACTGACTCTGCCAGCATGAAAAGCCCTGGTCCGAGTGCATTCCGTCCTGGTCCGAGCGCGTTCCGTCCTGGTCCGAGCGCGTTCCCTCCTTACCACACGAGTGACGAGGCCAGAGGGGCAGCAGACAACAGAAGCACTAGTTTCATAGAATCATAGAATGGTTAGGGCTGGAAGGGACCTTCAAAGGTCATCTAGTCCAACCCCTCTGCAAGGAACAGGGATATCTCCAACTAGATCAGGTTGCTCAGGGCCTCGTCCAACCTGGCCTTGAACGTCTCCAGTGATGGAGCGCTTCCTTCCCAGTTCCCTCCTGGGAAACTGGAACGTTTCCTTCCCAGTTCCCTCCAGAAGAACCGAAGGAAGGGGCTGGAGGGGCTGCTGGGGTGACCCACCATGGTTTGCCTCAGTGGAGGGTCCTGTCCTTGCACGGTGACCAACTTTCACACAAGCAGGTTTCAGAACTGCTTTAAATCTCTTCTTGAGAAGCAAGTGGGTGCAAATCATCCACTGCTTACGCGTGGGGATTGGCACCTGGTTGCACACAGTGTATTCCGAAATAATTGTACCCGTCGGACCAGGGCAGGGGGTGTCCGAAGCGGGGTGCAGTGATTGTGGAAATACATGAAGCGGCTGCGTGCAGCAGAAAGACACGGAGCGAAGGAGTTCACGTTTCAGAGTGAGATCAGATTGAATTCATTTCCAAATGAGATCACTGGAACCTGCTGCCTGGGTGTTGTTTTCCATGTTTCAGGCTTTCAGCCTTGCTGAACACTTGCCACGACTGAATTCCGCAAAGGTTTCCGGGCAGGTTCCCTGTCTGAGCGCCAGCCCGGCTGGGTAAGCTGATTAGCTCTAAGGAGATCAGAGTTTGACAAGGGCTGTATTGCAGGTAAACAGTGAAGCTTTTCCTACAGCTGAGGTTTAGTCTAGCGATGAAATCCGTTTGCATCCTCAGAGGTAAGGAATGGGGCTTGAAAAAGCCCCGGGAAAAATACCAAGAAGTGCATTAAAATGGTAAGTAGAACTGATAAGAGGAGAATCATGGGCAGATACGATCACTGCCTATAAATACTGTCAACATGACAGCACGGATGAGCAAAAGGAAGAGTATATGATATCTGATGGAAAACAAGCTTTAGGAAGAGCAGTCATCCCAGCAGCGGGGTGGTAGAGAGGATCCCCAGGAGTGGGTGATGCTCCAGGGAGATGAGGTCTTCTGGGACGATAGCGAATACATCTGCAACGTGCAGATGGTGAGATCGGCTGGA